AGTGAATAATTTTCTTATCGAGTTTCTAATGCACATTCTGATTATTGTTAAAAGCTTGTAACTCTAGATGTTTCATGGATTAAAGATGACATCATCAATAAAAAGGAGAAATATCCCAAATGAAGGGAATCAAATAAGGAACACATCATTTGTGGATCTCAAGTTGGTCCCTAACAACCACATGACATTTCTAGGTTTTATTGAAGATGAAATACTTCTATGCTTCAAACCTTGAACATGTTAATCTTTTCAATTTCGTGCTTGATAAACCTAGTAGGAACGTGACAATAGGCATATGTATATGTAAGTTCCAAACATGTTAAGATCGAGAAGCATGAGAATCAAAACATGTTATATTCTCTTTCAACATCAGATAGATGGTAAGCAACACTAACCCATTCGATCTTAGTGATATAGATCTGTTTTCCATGTGATATTTGGAGACTAATTGAAAGAGATGTCTTGTTTTTAAGTGATGAATGCAAATGAAAACTTGGTTACTCTTCTTAATAGAAGAGATGATGAACTATTTGTTGAAAGTCTTTTATATAACAAGGTATGTGGCTAAGTGTTCATCAATTATGAAATTAAAGATCTAACAACGGAACCTAGTTCCAGTCATGTTTGATGATTCTTGCAGGAACACAGGATTGACAACAAGTTTCCAACTCTGAATCCTGGAAGACACGAGGAAAATGATGCTATATACTAATGGTCTTTGCAGGAACTTTGGACTAGTTTTCAATACCTCTTGCTACATCATCAACATGGAAACAATAGATCTTTGATTAACAAGACACCCTATGTTCCACTTAGGGAAGTTTGATGATTGAAGTGACAAGGCGATTTATCCATAAAACGCCTAAAATAATTAAACATAAAGAGTTCAGTTTATAATGGTTAATGTGAAAAAGTGAACATATTTTCTTTTGAGATTAACATGTTTGCACCCATCAAACAGGTTGAAGATGAAGGATGAACTCACATGTTCTTGTAGAACTAGTTGAGTTTCTAATGAAGAAATATGTCACTAAGACTAACAACAAGGGCTAGCTACATTACTTTATGTTTAGGAACTTTTAGATGATAAGTTCCAAATCGCACAACAAAGTTCAATGAAATTAATACAGGATAGCAAGTTCCGATGAAGTTCCAGAGCTGAGATAATATTTGTTCCGACCAGCAAAATCTCAACAAATTAAGGAACTACAATGTCTTTCATGCATATGTAACCAAGGCCAAGCTTCACACTACCTTGAAGCATTTGAGGATGCAACTTGAATGTTGGATGTGCAATAGGAACTCAATGAGCTTAAAAGGAAGAAGGTGTGTGTCACATCTTGAACCTATTCTAGAACACCTAAAAGGGTCGGAGGTTAAAAAGGGTGTTCTGGAAAAAGCTTGTTGAGTAAGGAACGTGAATGGAACAAGGCCAGGTTGGTTCTTAAAGGAAACAGCCAATACAAAGGTATGTTTGTTTTTAAGGAACTTGTTGCTCATGTAGCTAGACTTGAACATAATCGCATATTATTTGTTCTTGCTGTTTATGTGGGATTAGAGTTGTACCACATGGATGTCTTGCATGCCTTTTATATGAATTATTATATAGACGTCTATGTGGAACATACTCTACCATATAATGCTATCCAAGTTCCTTCTTGAAAATTGAGTTTTAAAATTGTCAATTTCTGTTTTCAAGATGGACTAAGTTATTAGTTGTACTTATTTACATTGATTATACTTCTGGTACAACTAACGAGCCATTGTGCATTGGTTTTTGATAATTCTATGATGAGGAAATGTATTTGTAAGCATTAACCACTGACAATGAAACCTGAGTTAGAAGTGGAAGTTCATATTAGATTCGAGATCATCATCAAGGAACAGAACAACCACTTCAAGAACTCTCAGGTAAGCCATCATATTCAACCAATGCTTTAAAGTTAAATCTTTACATGGTAAAAGGCTACATAAGGTATAAGTTCCTTTTCACATTATGTCATTATATGACTTGAATTGATATAATTATAGTATGAATGCTATATGTGAATTTGTGAATTGATTCTCTTATGGTTTTGTCTTGGCTTGTCATATTCTTGTATATTGCTTAACGGAACAAGACGTGATGAAACATAACATGAGTATAAAGTAATTTTCCCTTAAGTTATGTCAAGTTGAGGTTCATATATATGTATGTTAAAATTGAAGTAAAGTATGTGCGCTTATTGTTAATGTCTCACACTTAGTTCTTTTGCTGTAAAAGACATACTCACTTGCCTAAGAGTATTAGAGGTCTCATAATAGAACCATAGGTGTTGTCAAACACAAAATTCCTAAATTGCCAAAGGAATAATGGAAGAAACTTTGATGGAACAAGTTCCCAAACTGATTGTACCTCACTTGTTTAAATCTCAGAGAGGAACTAACCTATCTTTTTGCCAATTTCAAGCATCCACACCATATATCTTCAAATGCAACATTATTCTACAACTCTAAGTTGTGTGTCTGTGTTGCATGTACTTTAATTGTTTCATATTCTCAGAAATTCGAAGATTCTTACCCACCCAATTTCCTTTTTTCGTTCATACTCTTTTACTTCTTATTCTCACTTTCCATGTGCTCTAAGTTATAATTCTTCACCCTTTTGTGGTTCAATGAAACATGAAGAATGGTGAATACAATTTGAGGGGGAAATTGAAGAGAAAGCAAGAAGTAAGCATTTGAAAAGGAAAAAGAATGGTAAGGGACTCGGGTGGGATAAGGTAGGAACCAAGAAAGCAAGATGGTTCAAATCTGGTTGTGGAACTCAAGTGTTTGAGTAAGTGTTATCTTCACTGTTTATAAATGTGTTATTCTAGGAAAGAATGCAAAATCGTTGTAGTGACACCATTAAAAAAAAAAAGAAAAAGAAAAAAAATGAAAAAAGAAGAAGAAAAAGAAAAAAAGGGGTGATCAAATTTTTATTTTCCTAGATGTCTATATATGAAGAATATTGATTGTTTTGATGTCGTGTACTCGTACACTTGGAAAGCTAGTGAAGGAACAACAATAAACGTTGAAGGAACTTAACTATGAAGCTGAAATCTATTTAAGTTCCAGTGAGCAGAATGTTCCTCAAAGAACACTACTAGAAAACAGCTTGATTCCGATGAAAAAATTCCGTTGGAAACAGTTGAAATTCCGTCGAAAAAGGGTCTTCTGACGGATTTCCGTCGAAAATTTCTGTCGCAAAACACTTTGTAGGAAATTCGACCTATTCCGAGGGAAATTCCGTCGGAAGACCAGTTTCCGACGGAATTTTCGACGAATTTATTTCTGTCGGCGCTGTTTTTGACTTTAATCGAGAGTCCGTCGCAACCTTCCGACGGAAAAGATTCCGCCGGAATATACCTCTTTCGACGGAATTTTCCGTCGTAAACTATTTTCTTCCGACGAAAATTTCCGTCGGAAAAGTTAATAATAAAAAAATAAAAAAAAAACAGCCCCACCATAACCCTTACCCCACCCAGATCCACCACTGCCCACACCCCTGCTCACCACCCTAACCCACCCCACCGCCACCCCCTAACCCTTAACCCCCACCCACCAGAATCGTACCACCGTAACCCCACCCCACCACCATAACCCCATTAGCCACAACCTACCGAGACCGTACCACCATAACCCCACCCCAACCCACCCAACCACCGTAACCCCACCCTACCCTCTAACCCACCTAGCCCAGATCTATATAATACCCAGATCTAAAACAAACGGCCACCCACAACCACCACCCAGACTCACGCCACCAAACCCACAAAACCACCAAAACCCTAACTAACCCTAACCACGCCACCAAACCCCACGAAACGACCCAAAAATTCACACATCGCCACCCACCACTAGCCCACACATCACACATGCACACACAACAACTCAGAGGCTCAAAAATTTTAAAAAATCAAAGAAAAAAACTCAGAAAAGCGAAAAATTAAAACATAAACATACCTTGAATTGAAATGGGCTTCGAATTTCACCACGAAAACGGTTTAACAATGCCAAATTCGGCCATGAAAATTCTAGATCTAGGCTTTTAATGGTCGAATTTGGCCTAAAAAACCTTTAAAATAATAAAAAAAAATTGTTGACGTTGCGCAATGGTGGTGGTGGTGTTGGTTGCGTCGTGGTGTGCGGCGGTGTTGATGTTGTTGACGTTGGTGTGAGATACATTGGTGTGAGAAGGAGGAGAAAGAAGATGAGAGAAGAAGGAGGCGAGAAAGACGAGAAGAGAAGGGGAAGGATAAGGACGAGAGATAAGAGGAAAGAGAAGGGGAAGGAGAAACATAAGGGGAGGGAGAAGAGATTCAGAGAAGAGGAGAGGAGAAACAGAAGGGGAAGGAGAAAGAAGAGGAGAGAGAAAGAGAGGGGAAAGAGGCGGAAATATTAAGGAGGGGAAAGGGTTAAAGGGGTTTATTCCGTCGGAAGCTTATAGTTCCGAGGGAATTAATTTCCGTCGCAAGAATTCCGAGGGATTTTCCGTCGTAACGTACCTTTTCTGACGCAATTTCCCGACATACCCTAATTCCATCGAAAAGTTCGAATTTTTCGACGGAATTTAGGTCCGTCGGAACGATTCTGTCAAAAAACGGCCTATTTCTAGTAGTGGAAGTTGGTGGTTGTAGTAATGGAACTTGGTAATCAATTAGCAAAATGAAAATGTATTGTGTTTAGCAAGAGGTTCAAGAGTATGAAATGAAGAACAAATGTAGTGAACAGGTCTAAACAAAGAGCACAATTTCTACTTCATGTTCCCTCTATTCATTTTGTTCCATATGCTTCTTTATATATCTTTTGAGCTTGCGCTTTCATTTGCCTATTCATGCAATCCATTTCTAACTTTTAGCTCTGATCTTTATTTGATTTTTAACTTCTTATTTGTCAAGTTCAATCAAGAGTTTTGAAGTTAGGCCTTTAGATCGTGAGTTGGAAATTAGTGTGGAACCGGTATACATGTTTGAAAAGTGAGTACCTTGAGGCTTTTAGGAATAACAAGTGTTTAACCATTATATGTTTACTTATTATATGGTGGTAGGTGTGACATATGACTTTACGTGTGTATAATTTACTAAAAACAAACATGTGGAACAATACCCTTTTTGATAATGACAAAAGGGGGAAGAATATGTATGATGCTTATGATATGTAGTAATTAACACTACACCACAATAAGCTTTTAATAGCGCTTTTTCTCAATAAAAGATAGTGCTTATGAAGTGTTGTAAATTATAGGCACTGCTAAAAGAATTACAGCGCTTTAAATAAGCGCTATCAATGTTTGCATATTTAGCAGCGTTAGATAAATAAGCGTTATTATTGCTCATTTAAGGGCATTTAGCTAAAAATCAATATTAATTTGATTTTTTCTTTTTTTTTTTTGGATTTTTTCTTTTTCCTAAGCATGCTTCATATTTTTTGTAGCATTATATATATAATAAAAAAAAAAGGCTAAAAGAAACCATTATAGAGCTCAATTTAATAATTGAATATTATACGCAATAAAACCAATATAATTTTTTTTTTTTTTCATATCAAACAAACAACTCGGTGTCTAATAAATTTGATATACAATAAGCACAACACAAAAAATAAAAAGGAAAAAAAATACATTTACAAATTATCTACTTTTAACTTTAAATCAACATATTAAAATTTGAAGATCATAGTACAAAATCATCCACCATAACATTTACATGAGAAGAACACGATGCGCCTTGAGTACTGACTTCATCAATTTAGTCTTGATTGTAATTTGAATTGTTCCAATAATGAAAGTACTACAAAATGAGAAAGTTGATTAGCTTAGTTTGTAGCAATGCACAATATATACACATAATTAAACAAAGTAGGCTACATTGAACTGACAAGTACATGTTAGTCCATTGGATAAATATACTAGCACATAATTAAGTTACAACATGTACCTCCAGGCCACATGCAAGGTTCGTTATTGTTCTTCCTGCAGATTATAAAGCTTTAAATCATCTAAAAGTCTTGTTAAAAGATGATCACATTATATCAAATATAGAACTTCGAGAAGGTAATCAACTTCGGGCAACAAGATCAAATTAGGTAGAGAGCATTAAGAAATTAATGACAAAAAAATATAAATAGAAATATGAACCTGAAGGTGATAATAGGATCAACCATGATATTTCAAGTCCAATAAGTGAGATAACATTCTTCTTAGTGGATAAGGATTTAAACTATAAGAAATTTAGATAAAAAAAAAAAAAAGACTATAAGAATGAGCTTTTTATTTGAAAAGCAAGTGAGTAATATTGCAAAGATAGATACTCATATAGAATTTTATAAGTTAATGGTTTATTTCAAGACTTAAATTAGACATCTAGCAATTATGTAGATCAAGAGTAATTATTTTTTCTAGTGAAGGTTGTTGAATTCTGAAGCAGATTAATGAAGGAAATGAGGGGAAGAAACATATGAAACCCAAAAAAAAAAAAAAAAAAAAAAAAAAAAGCAAGTGTATGTAGAAATATTTAACTAGTAAAAATTAACTCTTGACCTTATTAGTGAAAAAACATAGTCGAGGAGCCTAAACATGGTTTTATATCCTTAATGATGACCGATGGTAATATATACAAAGTTTTCTAATTTCTTATCACTATATACTTTGCTAAGGTTTTTCAGGAGTCTTAGTTCAACACCTAGACAATAATAGTTAGTCAAGATTATTAATGTCAACTAAAAAGTCACATTCAATTATAGACAGTTTAGGCATACAACCAAATTAAATAATCGACTAATTTGTCTTACCTGAATGCATGACTAGAATTCAATTTTTATTTCATCTAATTCAAACGGATCATCTAATATTATTAATTGTTAAGTTAAAATGAGTATAATCAATTTCAACTTTTATGGCTAGTCAATGGATTCAACTCATTCAAGGACCTGTTTTATATAGTATATAGTTTATCACACGAGCGTACATGAAATTTTATGATATATAAGAAACTTTGATAATAAGATTAAGCTTGATGAGAATTCCTTAAATAAAAAAGTCTTCTTTAAAAAGTAGATTCAACTAAAAAATCTTTAGAAATGCACCACATCCACAATCAACAAGTAGATTCAACTAAAAAATCCTTAAAAATGCACCTTATATCAACATCTGACAATCGAATTCCCTTATTCTTCATATTTTCATAGCAAAACTCTAATTATTCACCAAATCAAACTTTTAATAATTGGAATCCGGCAACACCACATTCAAAATCAGAGCATAAGTAATAATCAATGGGAAATTACTACTACTATCAAAGGAATAAAACATACAAAGTATAAAAAATTAATTGAGAAAAAAACAGAAGGCAATACCCAGCATAATGGAAGTGGCGAGGAGTTTATTAAGAAAAACCTTCGAAACCCTTAAACGATCGAAACTCGATTTGGTGCTAAGAGAACTGGGAATTCAGTGAAAGTGGAAAAAGTAAAAATTTTAGGGAACTGCAGTAGTGAAATCGTGGAGTATACAAAGTAATAGTGTGGGAAGTGGGTGATTGCATTTTTTTTTTCCTTTTCTTTTTTTTTTTTTTTTTTTTTAAAAAAAAAAAAAAAAGTCTTATCAACAGCAGATTAATTGCGTTGAGTGGAAAAGCGCTGTGTTATAATAAGATGGAAATTAAGGTATTTTTATTATGCATTATTTAGTAGCGTTTAAGATTAAAGCGCTGTTATATGATAAAAACAACAGCATCTTTCTAAGATTGCTATTAATAAGGTGCTGCTAATCAGTGCTTTTGTTGTAGTGTAAGTCTAAAGTTCTTATTCATCATGATATTTGATAGTATATATATTAACAATGATGTGTATTGCTAGTTTCTTACTATATGAAGTTCCTTTGTATGTTCCTAACTTGTTCTAAAGTTACTTCCTTGAAGAAGTAAGGGGAATAAATGTACAACGACGATTTAATTATTAATGTGTGATAAGCATCATTAGTTTGTCATCGATCATCAAAAAGGGGAAAATTAAGTAATTAGGTTTTGATGATAGTAAACTAATGATGATTATCTATCTAACGTGTTTGTTAAGTTGTGCATAGAAAGAACAAGTTATGCTTGGAACAAGATACAAGGAACCTGAGCAATCACAAGTATATATATAATGAACTTGAGCAATATATGATAAACAATAGAAGGAACAAGAGTAATGATGAGTGATGGTTGATAAGCATGATGATGGCAAAGGAACCATGAAGGTAACTATGTAAATAGGTGTTTGCATATGTTAGCTTCATGAAGTAAGTATCCTATACATATATACATAAGTGAGTCATGTATGTGTAGGAGTCGTTTAATTTAGTTTAGTTTTTTGAGTTTGCTCTTAGGTTAGCTCTAGTTTAGTTTGGTCTTGTTTTAGTTTTCTTTATTGTTTTTATAAATATAAAATTACAAAAATACGTGGCTTTAAGTTTAATTAGTTCTCTCACTTGAAGTTTGTTTATGACAAACAAACTTCAATATAATGTTCTCTTAAGTGTTTATGTGAAGACAGGAACTGAATTAGGTGAAGTCAATGGGTTGGAACATAGAAGACGTCAAGAGGAATTAGAGAGAATGAATGAACCTAAAGCAGGTTCCCCCGCGAGAACTAAACCACGAAGGAACCTGAAGATTTTACCTCCAACGAGGTCCAGAAGGAACCTTCGGCAGGCTTTCCCACGAGAGCCGGAGCATGTTCCCTAACAGGTACATGAAGTGTTCCCTAACAGGTACACACAAGGAGCTTCCTAACATAAGCATGACAGCAAGCGGATAGGTGAAGCTTGGACTGCGAAGATGACAGCAAGTTCCAGGAACTTGGCCTGCGGTTCTAGAAGTGGAACGTTGCCCCGAGATGTAGAATACATTAAGACTACAAAATTCTAGAACAATAGTTTCAAAGAAGCAGCATGAAGACGAAATAATTAAACTATATTACTCTAGGATTCATGTAAGTATGTTGGACACAAAAGTCGGTTTGGAACAAGTCTATGGAACCAAAATGGATCACCAGACAGTCAATGAAATTAGAGTTACTAAGAGTTCCAAACCTCATAAGAACTTAAGTATGCGCGTCTTTAAAGTCGGTTTTAATGATATATATATTTACCTAAAACGTGCATATCTTTTAGGGATTTGGTTTTACTGAATAAAGATATTTATTTTCTAATAAATCCCTTTTGGAAAAAGATAAGTTCGTTTAGAAAGCATTTTTAAACAAAAAGATAAGTTTTGCATAAAATCTGATTTTATGTTAATTATATCTCATTATTATCGACAGATTTTATTCTTAACAAAAAGATATATTTTCGGAAAACTTATTTTTAGAAATTATCTTTTAAACTTATCTTTTGATAAAACCTATCTTTTTCAAGATAAAATGAATAATTCGAGTGAACTATAAATATGCTTATATGTATTCATTCAAAATTGAGGCTGACGAAGTGAAGTGGTCGTGCTTAATGATTTCATCCTTCACCACGAAGTTAAGTCAGTCCTCCTGGTTAAAGTTCCTGTCAGGATTTGGTTTCAATTCATCCAGTGAGTTCCAGACAGATCTCGAGTGTCCAACATATTAGTTTATCTCTTTATTCATATATATGTATATAGAGTTATTCAATGAGATTTTATAATGGGAAAAAGGGTTTTGGGTGTTTTGTGTATTGGGGTGTGAGTGTGAATTATCTCTGATTCGATTGTAGCTGTGAGTGCACATTGAGTGAGCTTCTAGTGAGAAGCAGAGTGTAGGCATTCTAGGAGTGCTGATTGAACCTAAGTGTGGTACTTAGGTTGGGTAGGATAGGGTCCTATCAGGTAGCAAGTATCCGGGTAGGAACTTGTGAGTGTAGCAAGTTGCTGGGGAGGAGCTTGTGAGAAAGGTCTGTGTGTAATAGGTTGTAACTAGGAGTTGCCCTATTATAGCGAAGTGTTTATGTTGAAAATGCCTTGGAGGGTCGAGGTTTTACTTTCAGTTGGGCCCTGGAAGGTTTCCTCGTAAAATCCGCTTTGCATTGTTTAAGTTCCTAACAACAACTGTTTTATATTCCTGTAGGCACCTGATTGTGTCTCCCCAAAAACCTAACCCAGTGATGAGTACCTTTCACGTCTTTGATTATCGAGCTAGGTGAAAGAGTTGAAGAGTCTCGTGAATTTCCCTTTATCCTTGACCATTTCTAGCCTTTCCTTAAATGTTTTAAGCCAAAATCATTTATTTCATGTCCTTAAACCCAAAATCATTTATTTCGTGTGTTTGAAAATCATTCATTTCGTGCCCTTTTTATAAAACGTCCAAACCAATCTATTTTGGTCCATCATCTCGATTCAATTATCGTGTAGTTGGATGGGGTTTGAAAAGAGGTTTCCAACGATATATTATAATCCCAAATCCAACTTATAACGAAAAAAGTTATGGCCCAAATGCTAAACCGAGCTCGAGCCAAGCCTTACCTGCAACCCAATGACCATGTAGAGGGTCCATTAACCTTAACCTCATTCCTAAACCAATTAGGATTTTATTACAAGCTTCTAGAATTCTCTAGGAGGTTCTAATTTATCCTGTTTTCGAAAAGATAAAGGTTTAAGAGTTTTACATCGAATAAAACATCTGTATTTCAATGATCCTAATCTCAGTCAAAATAGAATACGTACGAATATTCGATTAACCCAATCCGATTGGGAATAGAATTCCGTACAAATTCAGTCTTTCAAAAACCATTGCTGAGCGACAGCACCATCGCGCCGCGACAAGGCTGTCACGCCGCGATGGAACCTGTTTTACTTGGATTCAATTTCTGATACTTTTATGATCCTTCAACCCTCTTTTTTCCTATAAATAGAGGTCATATCATCCCGTTTTTAATCACCAACAATCATCATCTAATCCTCTCTATAAGCTAAAATTTTTTCTCTCTCTCTTCTTTCTTTATGCTCCTAGCCTTAGCTTAAACACATCCCAACACATCCAAACACACATCTTTTGGTGTTTTTCCCTAGACAAACACCATACCTCCTTCACGAGCTTTGAATACTCCTAGCCAATCTCGAATTTGCCTTCGACCTCGACATGAAAGGTTGATAGTTCTGAGGGTTTGGTCCCCAAATCTATATTTCAACTGTTATTTGATTTAATCTTTCTTGAAGTTACTAACGTGTGTATTGTTTTGATAGAAAGAGATACGAGGCATCAAAGTAAGTAATTCGATTACTTAATTATTCTTTTAATTCCTAGTATCATGTTAGGATGTTGATTTTGATTCCTAGTATCATGTTAGGATGTTGATTTTGATTCCTAGTATCATGTTAGGATGTTGATTTTGATTCCTAGTATTATGTTTAGGGTGTTAATTAATATTGCTAATGTCATGTTGGTTTCTAGTATCATGTTTAGGATAATGCTTTGATCTTTTTTATTACTGACATGCTAAAATTTGTTATTAATCTGTTTGGTATCATGCCTAGAATCTTACTAATCATGTTTTGATGAGACTATGATTATATTGATTATGATGATGATTGTTGTGTCAATTTATTACATTGCTTGATTATTCATGATTTATTATTATTGCTTGATCACGCCTTTTCTGCAGGTGTAAAGGGAATTTGTACTTGAAATCACGCCTAATAAGATAATTAATAATGTGTTTTAGACTTAATATGATTTTAATTCAAGTGATCACCAATAATAGATTTATTTGTGCATTAATAATCAACCAATGTAGATTAAACAGGTTTAGGGCTAACTTATTGTATGTATGTTGACCGGAAAGCGCACATGAATATCATAAGAATTAAGTAGAGGCCGATTTAGAGCGGGTTCAATCTCTTTTAGGTTGGATTCGTACCATTATCCCCGAATACCAGTCATGGTTCCGGACCACCAGAAGTTAGCGATCTCCGTGATCGTGAATTGGGGGTGACCGTGAACGGTTTACAAGTTCCTAAAACTTGTTGGCGACTCTTTCATCTCTAGCTTCCTTCCCTTTGGACACCACCATGCCTAAAAGCATGATCACAATGAGGCTCAAGGTTGAGTTTGAAAAATTCCCTACAATTCCACGAAAATTAGGCACTAGGAACATACTACAATTCACCCCCCTCTTGTAATATACCATCCAAATAACATTTATATTTAATTTATTCTTAATGATGCTCTTAATAATGAATTTTTAAGAAATACAAGTTAGGTATACAAGTATACAACAATGAAAAAGGTACGTTTAAAGGCTTTGATAGGGAAATCATACACTTGTATTGCTTTCAATTCAACCGAAAAGACATCGAGTAAAATCCTTCTTGCCTTTCGCTATGTTCAATTAGTCGTGACTCGTGAGAGATTAGTAATGAAAAATGATTAGTATTTTAATTTTAAATCAATTTCTTATTTTAATTAAGGTGTTTATTTATGTCATTTGACCAAGCTATATAGGGTCTAGATCAGCTACTCCGTAGTTAGTGTAATTTGTTTTTGGATTATTGTTTTATGCTGCTTTTCTAAGGGCTTCATTGATAGGCTTACTAGCTAAATAGCATTATACCATGCGTCTCATTCAAATTCGAATTAATATCTTGGTTGCCAAATTTAAATATTACGGAGTAGAATATAGCCAAATAAAATTGAGTGGATGAAAGATACTAAGAATGACATAACCATTCTAAGGGGCCGTTTGGTTTGCATGGGGTAAATGGAATGGAATGAACAAAGGGAATGAAAGAGAATGGAATGAAAATCCCTCAAATTTAGTGTGTTGTTTGTTTTAAAAATCATGGGAATCAGAGCCACCACATCACCACCACACCACCACCACCACCACCACACAAATTTATTTTAGAAATCCAACCTTTAGCCCCTTCCCCCTTACCCCAGCAACCCAACACCC